GAGCATGGGATGAGTTTCCATCTGTTAGTGTTCCCTTTAATTTCTCTTAAGAGTGACTTGTAGTTTTCAGAGTATAAGTCTTTCACTTCTTTGGTTAGGTTTATTCCTAGGTATTTTATTTTTTTTGATGCAATTGTGAATGGAGTTGTTTTCCTGATTTCTCTTTCTGGTGTGAACTGGGTATCTTTTTGAACAAGCCTGATCTTTCAAGATATTTTACATTTTACATGAGATAGAATGGCTATATTATTAGTGAATCTTAATCCATTTCAGTATATATTCATACTTTGGAATGCTCAGTGTGTGTATGTGTGTGTGTGTGTGTGTGTGTGTGTGTGTGTGTGTGTGTCTGTATGTATGTCAAGGTATTCCAAATGTTCTATTCTAACCAACTATAATGATCAGTCACTTTGGGCAGAAAACAAATATACATATACAATATATATATTAACATACATATAATATCCTTTTTTGTGGGGATTTTCTGGAGAAGTTTTGAATCTAATTCTAATTAGGTTCAAATTCAATTACAATTACAATGCTTTAACCAAGTCAAGGGGTCCTGTGTTCAAGTCCAATGTTGGCAAAGGTAAATGAAGGGGAACTAAAACAACCTCAGACATTCCTGTAAGCAAACACGAAGGAGCACATAGAGATACATGAGATAAACATGGAGAACAAAGGTTTTCCTAGTATGAGGGAAAGGGGAGTTCAATAAAAGAAACTGTCTTTCACTGGGCAAGCCCTGCTTTCTCATGTGACAGTGAAAACATGACTTATGTTATATGAAGAATGTCTTAGAAAACACAGCCAGCGCTGGAAGTACCTACCATGATTTGAAAGAAATCTAAACTGATGGCAACCATGGGGGCAGAATTCCTCTGCCCTCACCACACTGCCCGTTTACTCTCACCCTCCAAAGTCAGTGAAGTAGAAGTGAAATGTATAGCCAGAACAAAAAAAATGGAGAGCTGAAAGATACCGGTTGAGACCTGACAGTGCTTTCCTATATCCTCTCTAGTGAAAAATCAAGTAGAACTTCACCCCAAAAGCTAGAATATTCAGTTCTCACTCTCTCATCCACTCTCATCTTACTGAAAGGACCCCACAATCCAGGTAGATCTGCCCTTGGGAAGCATCCAAAATCTGGGACAGGTGGGTGGTACTGAAGAGAACAGGAAAACCACATCAAAATTGTGCTGTATTGATTGTAGCACTTCAGGATAAACGCACATCCACTTCCGGAGTCTGAAAGTCAAGAGGATTATATTTGGAAAGTTTATCAGAGAAACTGAAAGAAATTTGGGAACAAGAACTCATCTATAGAGGATGTTTTATTTAGTAAAATGGGAAAATGTTGTAAACATACTTTGCAACATGCTTTCTAAAATCTGAATGTACTTTTGAATCTCCCTTTAAGATAATATATAAAAATCTAACATTTTCTCCCAGTTTATGAAGATACATGATATTTTGCAAATATGGGAAAGTACATGTGTGTGTGTGTGTGTGTTTGATGTTTTTCATATAAACCTTATTTTTTTACACCATTCCTCCTCTCCATTACTCTCTTATACATCAATATACATCTTGCCCTTCACACTACGTAAATCATATTTATGATTTAGAACATATCCTTGAGTGTTTTTCTTGCACATATATTAAAATATGTATTTTTACAGGATATTTTTTAGAGCACTCTGTTCTTCAAAAATGAATTAGCCTATTTTTCTTATATGCATCATACTTTTCTCCTCTAACAATACTTCCTTGAAATCCTTCCATTTAATATAATTCTAACCACATCCTTTTAAATGACTATGTAATACCGATGATAAAACAGTTCCACAGTCTAATCAGTCATTCCCTTACTAATGGGCATTTATTTGGTATTCAGCTTTTAGCTACTACATACACTCCCATATTAAACATATTTCCTTACATGCTTTTGAGTATTGGTACTTTAATTCCTGTGGCATAGAGTCTAAGAAACAGTATTGAAAGGTTTAATTTTTATCTTACTTGATGCTTCAAAGTCACTTTCACCAAGGCTATAAAAATACACCTTTCAACAAGAGAACATCTTTTTGCACACATCCCTGAGAGTATAATAGGTACTAACATCCTTTAAAATATTATCATTTAAGGGTATTGATTATAGTTTTAAAATCAATTATTGAAGTGTAATTTATATATAAAAGTACACATTTTAAGTACGTACTTCAAAGACTTATGGCAATATAACCACAATCTTTGCAATAATACAGACCTTTCCCTTTACCTCAGAAGATCCCATAGTACCCCTTTGTAAGCAATTCCCCTTTATTTCCCAGGTAACCAGTGATTTTTACCACTACAGATAAGTGCTGGCTTTTCTATAACTCCACATAAATGAAATTAGCTATTCATATCATCTATTTTTTTCTATTGTGGTTTTGATTTTTTGTTCTTAAAGTTTAGATGAGCACTTTGTCTATTATTGACACTTAAATATTTGTCATTTACATTTTAAGTATTTTTAAAATCTATATACACTGACATTACATATTTGGGGCATCTTTTAAAAAAATTATAAAGAAGACTTTACATTTGATATAATCTGTTCTTTTTTAGAAGAGAAAAACTAAATTTTTGGGTCTCCCAATTTAAGAAGTCCTTCCCAATCCACACACGTTTACATATGGAATACAAGATTTTCCTTAACATTTTTGTTTTCATTCTTACATTTAAGCTTTTAATTTTTCTGGAATTTATTTCATACATGAAGTCACCCTAGGGTTCGAATTCATTTTCTTCCATATGGATAGTCAATTGTGCTTGTGTTACTACCAAAACAAAATCCAAATGAGAAAACTTGCTCTCACAAAGATAAAATGCCATCTTTTCCATCTATTTAATTCTATAGTTATGATTTATCTAGTTTCTCTCAACCTAGGTTATGTAAGAGAATTGAGCTGTAATGCCTAACACATACACTATTATAGTGAATGGACTTCTCTCCAACACATCTGGAATGATACTAGTTATACACTATCCTTGGAGAAATCAAGAAAAGAGTCATTCAAGTCATTTTCTGTGTTCTGTGATTTAAGCCAAGAACTCTGGGTGAGAAAGGTCTATGTTGTTGTACTAATCTACCTATTTATCCCTGTGTTAGGATAATATTGATTGTATTACACTGGTTTTAGAGAATGTTCTGAAGTTGAGTGATGTTTTTCCCTTCTCCCTATCATCATCACCACCAGGCTCTTTTTCAGACTTGTTTTGCTTACTCTTAAGCATCCATTTTTCTTTATTTAATAAATGAATAAAATATTTTTTTCATACATAATTACAAATAATTCTTAAAACTTTAAAAAACTCTTAATATTCCATTACTTTGTGGGAATTAACATTTTGTGACACAGGCCTGAAAATAGGGAAGATTTTTGCAGACTGAACTCTTCCCAGGATCTGCCATATTCTGGTCCTCACCTAGGGCTTCTCCTGCACTGCTCTCCAGGCTCTCGATGTGTGCGTAGAAGATAAAATCCTGCACCAGCAATCTACTACGACTCCTAAATGCTTAGCTTCTCCCTCATCACATAGGCCCTCTGACCTCAGAAGCTGCTTGGCTCACGAGAGGTTAAGTAAACTGGAATCACAAGGGGAGAGAAGATAGAAAGCATTCAAGCCTCCCCTGCCAGTAACCCTTTCTCAGGATTAACTTTCTTAGAGTAGTCTGAAAATGAAAGCAGGTGCTTTCCACTTAGTATTAAAGTCATGGTAGATAAAATGAAATCCCAAACTCTACTCAATTTGTCAGTAAAATCGCAGGGATTTTCTGAATGAAAACTGGGAAGTCAACATTCACTTTCATTTAAAGTTTGAATTAGACTGTTTTTTAAATTATTTCTACTTCCCTTTTCATTTTATTCTGCTGTTTCTCTAATTGTTTACTTATCTGTCTAAGCACTTAAATAAGGATGATATCATAGGCTAAAACATGAATCATTCTGGGAACTCAGCCATTAATAGAAAAAAAAATGACATTCACTTAAGCTAAGCTTTTTGTCTTTGACAGGGCCTTACTTAATTAGAGATAGATGCTCCACAGAGGTGGAATCCCAGGGTTAAGTTTCACTAATTTTGAAGCTTTTTGTTCTCTCAATTCTCTAAGAAAACTAAAATTTTCTGTTCAAAGGAGATAATTGGGAAAATTTAATGAGACAAGAATAATTTAGAACATTTGTTGTTAAGAAAACAATCAAGATGCAAAATTTTCTTAGGATGTTAGAATAACCTTTAAATAGAGCATAAAAGATTGTTTTTAAAACAGCTAAACAAACTGGCACATATGTTACACTAATTCACCCTCTTCCCCAAGTAAATCACTTTATTAACTGGTATAAAAGAACTCAGGTATCAGTCCAGTAAATGACTATGTTTGGCAAAGAACATGTATGTGGCTCCTAAACCAATCAGTCAATCAAACCATTACACACCAGTAAAATATTAGGCTGGAATAAAATATCCAACATTAAAAAAAAACCTGACATTGTTTGATATCAAGTTCTGTTTTGATCGCTGCTCCCTAAAAGTCATAAAAGCAAAAGGTCATTCACAACCTTTAAGATAACATCATCTGTATCTTCTTCCTCTCTGTCCTCATTTCACAGCACTTCTCCCAGCACCCACTGGGTTCTTGCCACATTTCCCTCACTTTCTTCAAACAGGACAGCCTTCTGTTGTCAGGGCACTGCAGCTGCCTCTACCTGGAACGCTCTTTGCCACACTTGTAAGTGGGCTCCTGCTGGTGGTACAGGCTTCAGCCCAAACGCTGCTTCCTCAGGGCAGCGCGCTTTGGCCTGACACACTCAAAGGAACGTCCTCCTCTCCACTGTGCAATGCATACACATACTCTCTCTATGCCATTATCCCAGTTAGCTGTCTTAACGGGATTTATTACTATTTGAAATTAATATATTTAACCTCTCTTTTAATTTCCATTTCTATGTGAGGTCCCTCAGAGTAAGGACTTCATCTTTTCCACAGCGTTACCTCAGTGCCAAGAACAGGTATTTGTTGAATGATTAATGTTAATTATCATTTGTGTCACTTGGGAATAATCTGTATCAGTTGGATGTAAGAGAATATCTAAAATTATTTTTCTCTGAATACCTTTTGACTTTAATTCTTATAAAATTCTTATTGCGATTTCTAGGAAAAGGCAAAATTTTTCTTTTGTTGCTTTGAGAAAACATGTTTCTAAGGAAAACAGTTTTTATATACTAGTAGGTATTTAAATGTGGTATTTAAAATACTTACCAAAGAAGTAAAACTATTTCCTGAAAAACACGTATTTTCAGTCGGGTTCCTTTGCAGTAAAACACACTTATAGTACAGATGTACTAGTATCAGGAGCGGTATCTCAATATCATGCTTCACATAGGAACCCGAAGTGATAAAGGTGAGCCATTGTCTACTACACCTAAATCAAAAGTGCCTAACCCTGTTTTGGAACACATGTTTAATGAAAAAAAAATAAACATGTACTTCATGTGGGAATATTTCACTTCATGTGAATCAAAAAGTAGAGGCACTATGCAAATTTTATTACTTTTAGAATTTTCAACACCAAGAGAAATGATGCCATCATAAAAATTATTAGTGACTTGTTAAACTATTTTTCAAATGGGAATTCCAATGGAAAATCTCTGATTACAAATACAATAAAGTATTTCATAGAAATAAAAATCTTTATTGAGCACTCGAATTAAATAGTCCAAATTAACATAATAAAAAAATGAAGCAATATTTTCCATTTAAATCAACACAGCAGGCAAATTGCTCACTTTTACTTAATATGCCCCTAACTTGCTGATTAAAAACATCTATTAAATTAGGGTTAAGGAAAAAGAATACTTTATAGCCAAAACAGTGATTCACAATTTAATCAAAACATACTGGGACGTGCTGTAATAAAGCACAACTGGGTAAAATATATTAAACCATTGTTCTCCTCTTAAGTTCTTTAAAATGTGCATGACTGTTGAAAGCAAAAATTATAACCTTGTTTGACAGAGTTTTTGATGTCTGTAGATGAAATACATATGACAAGTATAAAGAAGGAAGACTAAAGGTACGTGCATGGTTGTAAGGTTTCTATATTTTGTGGGAAGTGGTAAAAAGCTAACTCTAAATAGGTGGAAGGTTTGATACATATCTTATAATCTCTAAAGCAATAGGAAAATATAAGGATAGATAAA